CTTTACCATCCATGCTCCCAGAGTCTGGAACGGACTCACCCAGACCTGGTGCAGGCAACTACTCTGGACACCTTCAAGATATACTTTATGCTTATCTTTCTGGGATCATTTGACTCCAGCAGGCTGAGCCTCTACTCGATCCTCATCCCATGAGCCACTGGGGACCTCCACAGAGCCATTTCCACAGCTGTGTATGTGGCGAGTTTTACCGACACCCCGGTCTTCTGTCCCTTCTGCAGGCAGACGTAGATCCTGGCGCACATGACGCTTGAGTGCGCCAGGCCGCAGCCCCTCCATCTCCACCTCCGGAACCTCTTCCTGAGGTTCTAGCTGAACTCCACCCCCCACCTTTTTATTTTTGGGCACCTCATCCGCTGCCCTACCAAGTCCTGGGACCTCCTGGTCAACCTCCTCCTGGCCCTGGCCAAGTGGGCCCTGTACATGACCAGGAAGGAAGCTCTGGCCAGGAAGGTGCCCAGGGACTGCAGGTCTGCATTCTTCTCACTTGTCTATGAATGCCTCCAAGCAGAGCACCAGCGAGAGGTGTCCACCAGCTCATTGGATGCCTTTGAGGACCGGTGAGCGCGGCCTGAGGGGCTTTGCTCTGTGTCCCCCTCAAGCGCACTTATTTTCATGTTTTGAACCTTTGACCCACATGATGTTCCTATCTTGTTTGTTGCCTTTGGTGTCCCAAGAATGTTGTTGTTCCACTCACCCATTAGCCCCCGTATAGTAGGGGCTACTAGTTAGCCAGGTGGGCCTCAAGGCCAACTGTAATAAATGGAACAAATAGACAGGAGCTTCTAAGGCCCAGCCAATTGGTATCTGGAGGAGTTTCTGAAGCCCAGCCAGGAGGTCAGCCACCTCATCTGCCCTCCAGCTGGGTCCCTGGTGCTGGCCCTAGGCAGGCTCCTCTTCCCAGGTCTCGCCACTTGTCTCACCAGCAAAGACAGATACTGGTGTTCCCTGTTTAAAAATTGAAAATTCTCTAATAAAAATCCCAAATTCTCTCATTAAAATACCTAAAATTCCTGTTCTTCCATGATTAAAATAAAATGCCACTATATAGAGAGAGATTGTTCAGGCAATGTTTTATTGATATTTTTATAATCTTAAAGAAATTTGGAAACCTACCAGTGCTTCTACCATCATAATAAAAAATCTAAATATCTGTACACTTTGGCATTTGCTTTTGGTTTTTTTAACATACAAAAATCAGAGCTGCCCCTGCCCCCTTAGCTCACCAGGAAGTGGAACACTGAGCAGCACTGATATGCCAGTGCCCTACTCCTGCCCTTGCCCCTCACTGTCAACCAACAGCCCCCCCCACCTAGTGCCCCTCAATCCTGCCTGCCCCCCTTAGCTCCTGCCTGCCCCCAGACCATCACACTCCTTAAGTGGTTCCTGGGACCAGGAGCCCCCCCTAGGCTGGGGCCACATGTCCCAGCACTGGTGTGGACATGGGACAGGACTGCAGTGTGACAATTTCCCCTGAAGGCACAAGTCCCACCAACAGGTCCTGTCCCATCCCATGTGGCTGGCTGGGCATACAGGGTGT